ATTTTTTTTCTAAAAGCCAGGAGGGAGGGAGCAGATCTTACCTCATTTGGGAGTGTGTTCCATAGATGGGGGGCCACAGGCCCATAGCCAGGATTTTGTTTCGGGGGGGGGGGCCTGAATTTTTTTCAGGGGGGGGTTGGGGGGGGCTGAGTTTCGGGGGGGGCTGAGTCTGAGTGAAAGAGGGTCTACCCTAGCAAACCTTTTGTATCATTGCCCCAATACCCCCATGCATATGTGATTAGATCATGATATGAATAAACATAACAGTTTAAATAATGCACCAGTAAGGCCTTTTCGCGAGCCACCATGAGAATTTCGGGGGGGGGGGGGCTGAAGCCCCTCAAGCCCCCCCCCCCCCCCCCCCCCCCCTGGGGGCCCATAACCTTTTAAATAAGGCTATTCTGCCAAACCAAGATAGGTGTGCATTGTTATATTCAACTAATCTTTTATCTGTTTCTTTCCTTAATACTGTTAAATTTTTCCTTTCCATCTCACTTAGATTCTTAGGTACTACTACTCCTAGGTATTTTATATCTTCTTTTAGAGTTATTTTTATCTCCCTCTGACTTTTGAAATCTTTCTCTTCTTGTTTTGTATATTTAAATAAAATCATTTCTGATTTTCTCCAATTTATTTTCAGCCCTGTTACTTCTCCAAATTTCTTTATATGTTCTCCTATTATCGTCATTTTATCCGTTATGCCTTTTAAAGTCAAAATTGTGTCGTCGGCAAACAAGCTAATTTTGTCTGTTTCTTGTCCTATCCCTATTAATTTATCATCATTCCTGTATTCAGCATACAGGTGCATTGCTTATTGGTTGAGAGTTTAAACAATCTGTTCTCTAACACATAATATATATTAAAGAAGCTTATGAATATTTTTGTAGTTAATTTGGCCAATGAGGATGGTGTGAAGAACAACATATGTTTAAGAACAATTAATTCAACACAACCACAGAATAATATTATTACATTTATTTATAAATATATATACTCCCACTTTATCTCTCCCGAAGGAGACTCACAGAAAATTCGGATTCTTTGGCTGCTAAACAACTTGGCTTCTGGGACTAGATTATGTAGGGAAACTATTTTAGGGCCCTTCACACAGTCATATAACCCAGAATATCAAGGCAGATAATCCACAATATCTGCTTTGAACTGGGTTATCTGAGTCCACACTGACATATAATCCAGTTGAATGTGGATTTTATACAGCTGTGCTTTGTGCTTATTGGCAGGGGCGGCTCATCCATTACGCGAAGTAAGCGGTCGCAGAACACTTTTTTTGCCAGGGGCGCAGAGGCGCCTCTGTAAATGCCCCTCGACCGCCACTTGAGGAGCACCCCCTCAGCTCACAACAGCCCTAGCAGTCCAGGGAGAGCCTCGGCTTTCTTGCCTCGCTGCTGGGCGAGCCTCTTCCCAAAGGGGCTGGGCCCTTGAGGCTCGCCTAGCCCCTCTTGTTCCTGCTCCACCCGACGACCGGGTGCGTGAGCAGAGCCGGCGCTCAATCGTTCTCCGCGTTCGATCCCTTCCTCATGACCGGCTCCCTTTCCCGATCCCCCAATGCTCTACCCGCCTCCTCTCCTCTCCCCAATCTGTGGGTGGGCCAAGGGGCGGAGACCCTGTGTCTGGCCCACTTCGGGTCCGGAGGCGTGTCTGAAGACCCCAGCGTGCGCACCAAAAGTCGCCTCTTCTTGACTTTCTCTTCAGCCATTGGGACCAAGAGAAAGAGAGAGAGAGAGAGCCCCTCCGGCTGGAGGTATCTCCCACCTCCGCTCCCTCCTTTGTTTTTGCGCCTACCTTCAGGAAAGGTGGGCATCTCCACCTCTCTCTCTCTCTCTCTCTCTCGGTCCCAATGGCTGAGGAGAAAGTCAGGAGAAGAGGTGACTTTTGGTGCACACACCAGGGTCTTCAGGCACGCCTCCGGACCCAAAGTGGGCCAGGCAAGGGAGCAAGTGCGGCAAGTGTAGTTACTGGGATGTATAGTTCACCTACAATCAAAGAGCATTCTGAACTCCACCAATGATGGAATTGAACCAAATATGGCACACAGAACTCCCACGACAAAGAAAATATATATCAATTATTGGTTGGAGGGGGGGTGCCAAAATAATGTTTGCTTACTGTTGAAAATTACCTAGGGCCCCATAAAAAGACATTCCCACAGAATTTAATTAAAAAAAATACTCATAAGGATGTTCAGTTCTGATTCAGTTATGCTGTCCTTTATTATGTTCCCGCAATTGTCAAGAGCAACATATGTTTACCTTTGTTCATCTGGCAGAAACTCAGATCTTGTTTTTCTGGTTTAAGATTCATTATGAAATGGTGAAAGTAATTTTGCATGGCCTTGACTTCATACATATACAAATTGCAGTCTAAATGTGTATACGTATTCTGCAACGTTATGTCAAAGTGTAAATATGCTGATTTGTTTCATGAATACACAGACACATAGTCTTTTCCCACAATTCTCAAGGAAGAGTTGTCAGATCTGCTCAAAGGGCCCCTCCACACAGTCATATAACCCAGAATATCAAAGCAGAAAATCCCACAGTACCTGCTTTGAACTGGGTTATCTGAGTCCACACTGACATATATTCCAGTTCAAAGCAGAAAATGTGGGATTTTATTCAGCTGTGTGGAAGGGGCCTAAGCCAGAGAAATGGTGAGTGAGACCTCTCCCATTCAAAGACCAGGCAGACCCTACAAAGATTTGACTTTAAAGACATATTTTATGATGAGAATCTTTAAATGTCTATCGAGTAGCTCTGATTAAGTTCAATGAGCCTAAATTTGTGTGTAGCATTGCAATCATTGTTTTCATGTGTCTGAAAACGTTTAGGGTGGGCGTAGGAATCACGTTGAACTGCATCTTCCAGCATTCCTTACCACTGACTGTGATGGCTAGGGCTGCTGGGAATTGCACTGTAATCTCTGGAGCACTGCATGATTCCTATTCAAGAATTAGGGCAGTGCTATATAAAGTGGTGGCCCATGGACCAGTGCCCAAGCCTGAGCCATCATCTGGTGGCTCTTGGAGAATTTTCAGGGGAAAAAATAATTGTAGCCAATGGACACAAAGGCAGTGCTCAACTTTGGCACATTGGGAGGAAAAAATTCTGGCCCCACAGCTTAGAGACCTTAAGAGGCATGGGTTATAACTGCTGTTTGTTAGGAAGCACTGGTTGGACCTTAGAGGCAACCCATTTGCTACAGTGATCAAAGAGGACAACTCTAGGAAGGGACACGCAGCCCTCCATAACTATTAACTTTAGGGCATCTGAAGTTCAGTAACAGATTGAATTGGGCAATGAAGTTGACATGATGCAGCTATTGAGGAGGATGGGCTTATCTTGGGGAGATGGCAGGCTAGCAATGAGATGGGCACAGTGTCATGTGATGGGTGACAAATCAAATTTGTGAACATCCTTCGGCTCCTCCAGTCTTGGACAGCAATGGCTCCCAAAGTAACCCATTTAAGGTAAATCGGGTGTCAAACAGGGATGTGTTATTCCCCCAACTTTATTCTCCATCTTCATCCCTATGATACTTCACCTTGTTGACGGGAAGCTTCCCACCGGAGTGGAAATCATCTATCGGACAGATGGCAAGCTGTTTAACCTCAGCAGACTGAAAGCCAAAACCAAGGTTACAACAACATCTGTTATAGAACTCCAGTATGCTGATGACAATGTCGTCTGTGCGCATTCAGAAGAAGATCTACAAGCCACTCTAAACATCTTCGCAGAAGCATACACGAAGCTTGGCCTGTCACTGAACATCGAGAAAACCAAAGTGCTGTTCTAGCAGTCACCATCCAATCCCTCCCCAATGCCAGAGATACAACTTAATGGTGTAACATTAGAAAATGTTGACCATTTCTGCTACCTTGGCAGCCACTTCTCCACCAAAGTCAACATCGACACCTAAATACAACACCGCCTGAGCTCTGCGAGTGCAGCATTTTCCCGAATGAAGCAGGGAGTGTTTGAGGACCGGGACATCCGTAGGGATACCAAGGTGCTTGTCTATAAAGCTATTGTCCTCCCAACCCTGCTATATGCCTGTGAAACGTGGACTGTCTACAGACGTCACATGCAACTCCTGGAATGATTCCATCAGCGCTGCCTCCGGAAAATCCTGCAAATCTCTTGGGAAGACAGCTGGACAACGTCAGTGTGCTGGAAGAAGCAAAGACCACCAGCATTGAAGCGATGGTCTCTGCCATCAACTCCGCTGGACCGGCCACGTTGTCTGGATGCCTGACCACCATCTCCCAAAGCAGTTGCTCTACTCTGAACTTAAGAATGGAAAACGGAATGTTGGTGGACAGGAAAAGAGATTTAAAGATGGCCTCAAAACCAACCTTAAAAACTCTGGCATAGACACTGAGAACTGGGAAGCCCTGGCCCTTGAGCGCTCCAGCTGGAGGTCAGCTGTGACTGGTCTTCTGTTTCCTGAAAAGGTCTAGTGGCTTTCAGATGGAGACAGCCTTAATGAGATTAAAAGGAATTAGAAAATAACTGAGTAAGCAAGACACAAGAAGAGATTAAAGAAGGCCTGTTCAGAAATAATCCAGTGCTGTTGCTGTTCTCCTGTCTATCCCAGATTATGTGCTCCAAACAATAGTAAGACAAATATCCTTATAGCAAAAAGGTTAACAAGCCCTGGAAACATAATTTTCTTTCATGTTGGATGTATTTACCAGGGTCTATGAATCAGCCCATGAACACAGAATCTGTGTCTGGAAAATGCCCAGATATTGCTGCACCTGCTAAATATACTTGTTTGGGCAAGATGGGAAAAGTACAATCCGTGAGATTTGGGATCTCAGTTGTTACAATTCCGCATTTCTCCCGATATCAGGACTCAAAATGGCCAACAGAAACATGACACGATACAAGTTTAAAACAGGGCAAATGCATTAAAAACAAAATTTTAAAAAGCAATCAAATATTCTGTGACATGAAATCTGAAAACAATAAAATACAACAATGTTGGCAACTAATCAACTATTCTCAGCGGTCAACTATTCTCAGCGGTCTTCGATACTGTTGACCACGGTATCCTTCTGGAATGCCTCGAGGATATGGGACTTCGGGGTACTGTTCTGCAGTGGCTCCAGTCCTTCCTTGAGGGACGGTCCCAGAAGGTGTTACTGGGAGACACCTGTTCGACCCCACAGCCATTGTTGTGTGGAGTCCCACAGGGTTCAATACTGTCCCCTATGTTGTTTAACATATACATAAAGGCACTGGGAGAGATCATCCGGAGTTTCGGAATGAGGTGTTATCTCTATGCGGATGATGTCCAAATCTGTCACTCCTTTCCACTGTTACCAAGGAGGCTGTCCAAACCTTGAACCGGTGCTTGGCTGCTGTGTCGGGCTGGATGAGAGCTAACAAACTGAAATTGAATCCAGACAAGAAAGAGGTCCTACTGGTCAGTTGTAAGGCCAAACAGGGCATAGGGTTACAGCCTGTGTTGGATGGGGTTACCCTCCCCATGAAGACGCAGGTTTGCAGCTTGGGAGTGATCCTGGACTCATTGCTGAGCCTGGAACCCCAGGTCTCGGTGGTGGCCGGGAAAGCTTTTGCACAGTTAAAACTTGTGCGCCAGCTGTGCCCGTATCTTGGGAAGTCGGATCTGGCCACAGTGGTCCACGCTCTTGTCACATCCTGAATAGATTACTGCAACGTGCTGTACGTGGGGTTGCCTTTGAAGACTGTTCGGAAACTGCAATTAGTCCAACGGGCAGCAGCTAGATTACTCACTGGAGGGAACTCCCCCCCCCCCCCCCCCGTTGTGTCAGCTCTACTAGCTGCCAATCCAATTCTGAGCACAATTCAAAGTGCTGGCTTTGACCTATAAAATCCTATATGGCTCTGGTCCAGCGTACCTGTCTGAACGTATCTCCTTCTACGTCCCACCTCGGAGCTTAAGATCCTCTGGGGAGGCCCTGCTCTTGGCCCCGCCATTGTCTCAAACACGTATGGCGGGGACGAGGGACAGGGCCTTCTTGGTGGTAGCCTGAGAATACGCTTCCCGGGGAAATTAGATCATCGTCATCTCTCCTCACCTTCAGAAAGAAGTTAAAATCATGGTTGTGGGACCAGGCCTTCAGGCAATCAGGTTAAAAGACAATGGATAATATTTGATTTGGATAAGTGAAGTGGAGTAATCATTAGTATATGGCTAGATAAATAGCCACCAGACTGGTAATAGCTAAATGGATCGTAAGTATACTGTTTAATTTTTATTTTAATGTTCATGTTTTTAATTGTTATTTTTGCTATTTGTATTTTATTAAGCAGCATTGAATTGTTGCTAATTGTAAGCTGCCCTGAGTTCCCCTAGGGCAGTGGTTCTCAACCTTCCTAATGCCGCAACCCCTTAATGCAGTTCCTCATGTTGTGGTGACCCCCAACCATAAAATTATTTTCATTGTTACTTCATAACTATAATTTTGCTACTGTTATGATTCGTAATGTAAATATCTGACATGCAAGGTGTATTTTCAGTCACTGGACCAAATTGGGCAAAAATACCCAATACGCCCAAATCTGAATACTGGTGGAGTTGGGGGGATTGATTTTGTCATTTGGGAGGTGTAGTTGCTGGGATTTATAGTTCACCTATAATCAAAGAGCATTCTGAATTCCATCAACGATGGAATTGAACCAAACTTGGCACATGAAACTCCCATGACCAAGAGAAAACACTAGAAGGGTTTGGTGGGTATTGACCTTGAGTTTTGGAGTTGTAGTTCACCTACATCCAGAGAGTACTGTTGACCTGAAGAATGATAGATCTGGACCAATCTTGGCACAAATACTCAGTATGCCCAAACTTGAACACTGGTGGCGTTTGGGGAAAATAGACCTTGCCATTTGGGAGTTGTAGACACTGGAATTTATAGTTCACCTACAATCAAAGAGCATTCTAAATCCCACTAACGATAGAATTGGGCCAAACTTCCCACTCATAAATCTCATGACCAACAGAAAATATTGTGTTTTCTGATTGTCTTTGGCGACCCCTCTGACACCCCTTTGTGACCCCCCCAGGGGTCCCGACCCCCAGGTTGAGAAACACTGCCTTAAGGGTTGAGAAGGGTGGGGTAAAAATGTTCGAAATAAAATAAATAAATAAATTCTTTTTTCTTTTCATTTTTAGCATCATAGAAACCTTTGTTTTGTATTAGATAACAATGAAAGAAGACAAATATGCAAGAGTTTAAAAATGCCCATTCTATATTCACTCTTGTACCCTTCCCCATTTCTCATATATTTTGCAATAAAAAATATATGGACAAAAAAAATATCATAAAATATTCAGGCTAGGTTGTCATCTTTTTCCTAATGGATATTGATGTTCTTAAAAATTGCATACCTGTCAACTGATCTCTCCATTAATTCTCGGGGCGGAAAGAACAATTAAACCCGATGCATTTTTGCCTGGCAGACACTTGCTAAAATTGTAGAGCTTCTTCCAGGGATATAAATGGGGTTCCCATAAAGAATGGCAATGATTACTTTTCTCAAGCTCTGCTCTCAAACACTAGACCACTATTTTTTAAACTGGGCAATAATGGAATGCTACTTGTTGCATCATACATGCTTAAAGTACTCTTAAAGAGGAATTTCTTCTTTCCTTGATTTTGGATTTTCATGATCTGTGGCTGCTACAGTGTGGAGACTTAAAGGATTTCTTTCAGTACAAAGGACAGCAGATTACGTTTCCAAGGTAAGCACAAGCAGGCACTATAATACTGTCATATTGCAAGAGCAACAGCTGCATTGTTTTCATTTTCGAGTTCATTTATTTTCCCCAATTTGTTTTTTTCATAGACCTCTTTTTCCTAGGAAGACAAGGACTTCATTATCCATACAAGATTCACTGCAGAATATGGAATAAATACAATGAGGTTGGTAATTTGTTATTTATGTCATTCAGCAAATGTAGTGGTGGGTTATTAATAGATGGGTGTTTGACTGGGAATGCTAAGTGGAATGATACGAGTGGGTAACATTGAAATGTGGTTGAGCTGAAGATGCTAATTATTTCCTGGGAGAAAAGATATGCAAGGCATAAAAGGAGGAGCAATGTGCATTTATTTTGCTATTTATTGTTCAACCCTCCCATTATGCTGCTAATCTGTTGTGAACACAAAGTGATTACTAAACTATGAGAAATAACATGAGCGCCAGAATAAAATTCGGCATGTTTAACAGCAGAACATTATCCATCACTATTTAAAATCCCATGTTTACAGCTGCAATTCTGTGTTCACATCTGATTAAGTACATATATAGGGTGACTTTGTAAGTCCCATTTCTTTCAGTGGAATTTAAATGTGCTTACGTTTGGCTAAATCCAAAATTCTTTTGTTCCTATTTTTTCCTTATTTGTACTGTTTACTATTATTTTATACCACACATTTGATACAACCAAGAAACAATTGTGATATAGCCTCAGTTGCTATGTATGCCTGCTCCAAAATAAATTCAATTAAGCTTACTCTCCAGATAGCATGTATATGATCGAAACTTGTTTTGTTTAGATTTCTTTAGTTGAAGTCTCAATGGGATATGTTTTCTTTTTACTGCTTATTTAGTTGCAATGCTGTGTCTTATATTTAACATCTTTAATATGCTCTGATCAAACATATTTTTCCTCTATGTTTTTCAAATATTAGATTCCAATTATGACCACAAAAGTAGGGGAGATTCAAACCCATCATGCTCATTCAAATATTCATAACTCGGCTCTCCAGGACAGGAGTAAAAGTACTGAAAGAGTACAAGACGGTGAAACAAGGTAAAGAATGTGAATCAGTTTTTCTTTTAATGCCAAGCCTATTCTTTACTATATTGTTATCGTATTTCAGTATCACAATTCAGTCAAACACATATATATGTACCGAACCATTTCTGTGGGGAAAAATCCCACTAATACGCTATCAAGCCCTTCCACATAGCAATATAACCCAGAATATTAAGGCAGAAAATCCCACAATATCTGCTTTGAACTGGGTTATCTGAGTCCACACTGCCATATATTCCAGTTCAAAGCAGAAAATGTGGGATTTTATTCAGCTCTGTGGAAGGGGCCTAGGTTTTACTGAAACCAGGAGAGATAAGTAATTAACTTTATTTGGATTATGACCATTATTTGGCTGAAACATGATTTTTTTTTTACCCTACACATCTCTCCATATGTCCGAATAATGGTTGTTGATGATTTTTTAAAATTGAGTGATTACTCTGGTTGGTAGAAAACATATCCAGAAAACATAAACACAATTGTATGTACACTCGCTTGAGAGTAGATCACACCGATGTATGGACTCGCATTGCACAACACAAAACTACACTGCCTACTGAAACAAATAGGATTAAGCATGTTTCTTTTTATTGTCGAAGGCTTTCATGGCTGGAATCACTAAGTTCTTGTAGGTTTTTTTGGGCTATAGGGCCATGTTCTAGAGGCATTTCTCTAGAACATGGCCCTATAGCCTGAAAAAACCCACAAGAACCTAATGTTTCTTTTTGTCACTTGCTGCTTGGTAACATTTTATTTGGAGACTAGTCGTCCCCTGACACGCGTTGCTGTGGTCCGGTCTGGTGATCTGGAAAATCAAGTAATGTGAAAGTGTGGGTTTCTAATATATGTAATTTCTTTATGCTTGTGGGTAAACAGTATTTCTTGTTGTTTCTTTGTCAGTGTTGATGTGGAGATTGTCTGGTTTGCCAACTCTGGAATATGGAACACATAATTGTCCTTCTTTAGGGGTCCCTTTCAAATCTATGATACTATATCTCTCTGTGTGTGAATCATATCTATCTATATCTATAGCTGGATGGCTCTTTGTCAGGAGGGCTTTGATTACGTTTTCTTGCCCTGGTGAAGAGAGTTGGACTAGATGGCCTTAAGAATTTTCTCTTGGTCATGGGGGTTCTGTATGGGAAATTTACCCCAATTCTGTCATTTGTGAGGTTCAGAAGGCTCTTTAATTTTAGGTGAACTATAAATCCCAGTAACTACAACTCCCAAATGTCACGGTCTATTTTCCCAAACTCCATCTGTGTTCATATTTGGGCATATGGAATATTCGTGCCAAGTTTGGTCCAGATCCATCATTGTTTGAGTCCACAGTGCTCTATGGATGTAGGTGAACTACAACTCTCAAACTCAAAGTCAATGCCCACCAAACACTTTTAGTGTTTTCTGTTGGTCATGAGAGTCCTGTGTGTCAAGTTTGGTTCAATTCCATTGCTGGTGGAGTTCAGAGTGCTCTTTGATTGTAGGTTAACGATAAATCCCAGCAACTACAACTCCCAAACGACAAAATCAAAAAATTGAGTGAAGGACATACATTGGGTTGTTAGGTGTATGCTGTCCAAATTTGGTGTCAATTCGTCCAGCGGTTTTTGAGTTATGTTAATCCCACACACGAACATTACATTTTTATTTATATAGATAGACATTTTCGATAGAGTATTTTATTTGGAGATTTGTTTTATTGTCCTCATCATATGAAACTTCTTGTTTTGCTATGAATCATTTTGGACTGGTTGGATTGGACACATCAAAATATTTATCACTTGGCTTGAGGCAGGAAATAAAATTTAATTTTAATAGTTGCTTGGTTTCCAACAACTTCTGAGGATGCCTGCCATAGATGTGGGTGAAACGTCAGGAGAGAATGCTTCTGGAAGATGGCCATACAGCCTAGAAAACGCACAGCAACACAAAATTTAATTTATTTTTCTATGCAGAGATTGTTCACAGTGGCTTGCTGCTGAAAACAGTCTCTGTACTTGGTAGTATATAACTGAAAATAACAATCTTCAAGAGGGAGGAAAACAGGTTAACCAAATTGCAACTGCTTGGAAATATCCAGTTTACATTCCATAAAAGCCAAATGCAATTTTTAAATGATTTCCATGGATGAGGATGGATTTTTAAAAATGTACAACCTTTCAAGTGATAAAAATGTTAGATATGGACACAGCTGTGCTTGCAAAAAGGGATTTATGTGGATGGGATATAGGAAAGTATGATGAGGTAGGATAGTAGCTGCCAAAAAGAAGTTGAGACCTTGCTGACATCTACAGGAGGATAAGATAAATGTCACTTGAGGTTATTTCAGCTACAATTTGCCAGGGTTGCCTATAGAAGACCGTGAGAAGAATTACCAAAAGGGGATATTACACATCTTTTACTGACACATTGGGCTTCCTTGGGGAATTGCATGTGTAGTTACAGGGATCTGCCTCATTCAGTTGGTGAAAGCATTCCTTCGGGGTAGCACAGTAAAATCCATCACAAGGTAAACAAGAATAATGGCAGCAATCATTGAGTTTCCACATTTATTGGAGAGTAAGCTTTGTTTCTCTCCAGTGTCCATTGGGAAGCAAGAAAGCACAAACCAAAAACAAAGTTCAAGTAAATAAAAATAATTTTCAGTATTGATATCTCAGTGAATGAAATAGATGGATACTAGTTCTTTAATTTAAAAAATTGGCAACTGGGCAGAAAGAACTTGGAGATGGGGGCGTGGTAGAAAAGTAAAGTTCTTCTTCTTTTTATTGCAATGACTCTACCATATTGACCCTTCTTCCAGTAAATCTGATGGAGAAAGAGAAAAGGCCACAGTAGAAAAAGCAGACAAAGAAAACCACAAGAGCAATACAGATCAACCTGAGAAGAAAAATAAGGAAGAGAAGTAAGTGTTCTTAATTTAGGGGTAAACGCTTCTGTATAATATAATGAAAAATACTGGGACACAGAGTCATATGTTACTACTGTAGTACGGGTTGAGTTACAGATTTCAGAGACCTCACAACATAATGTCAATATGCAGGAACATGCATCTTGAAAAAATGTGATGCTTATTGTGTGAGCGTGTTTGTGTGGTTTCTAATAAACAGAATTAGCCATCTAATCTTTGGAACCTATATCATTTCTATATGATAGAAATAGCATATAGAATCAAATCTGGTCTTTAATGGGTACTGGTTGACTCTTCAGTAGCCAACCAAGATATTCAGTTACCTTGATATTAGCCAATAATATATATTTTTTCTGAATGGGCCTTCTATTAATTATTCCTCCTCAAAACAGCTCTCTATTATAACCAAATATTGACCAGGGATGTGTATGGATAATATAGTTATTGTAGGATCTCAGTACATGGGAATGGCAACTGTGCATTCATATATTATCAGATCTATTTAGAATTTGTAACTCATGGGTGATATGAATGGGAGTGGAGCCAATGGTGTGTACTGGTTTGAACACTGAATTATGACTGTGAAAGCTGAGGTTCGAATTCCCACTTGGATGTGAAACTCCATTGGGTGACCTTGGGCAAATCAAACTCTTTCAGCTTCCGAGGAGGACAAAGGGAAACCTCTTCTGAAGAAATCTTACCAAGAAAACCCCTTTATAGGTGGAATATAGCTAACCCATTGCAAACAATTGAATTAGGTGTTGCTGGGTTTTATTCAGGATGGCCATTTTGTACCAGATCTTCAATAACATCATGAACAGAAGAAGAACTGTTTAAAACTACAAACAGTGCTGTCGCGGTTGCCCGTTTTTGGTCTAAAACTATTCAGCTGCTCGTGATCTCTTCATTTTATCTGTTTTAAACTTATTTATTTATGCAATGCTTTTGACATGAAATAAATAAATTGTTTTTTCTTCTGCTCACTATTTAGGGAAAAGAAGGAGGTATTTGTCATCGATCCTTCAGGAAACTTATACTATAACTGGCTGTTTTGCATCACATTGCCTGTCATGTACAATTGGACAATGATCATTGCTAGGTATGGTAAAACAACGTAACATAATGGCATATTGATTCATATTACATATGTTCATTTTTATTTTTGAATAGAAACAGAAATCAAAGGAAGAAGCCTTTCCATGATTGAATCAATGTTGTATCAAACGGTGAAGCCTGTTGAAACAGAATGTAATGTCTCATCAGTTAACAAATGCAATATGTCAACAGTGGAATCATAGAATCAGAGGAGCATAGAGTTAGAAAAGACCTTGTGGGCCATCCAGTCCAACCCCCTGCCAAGAAGCAAGAAAATCACATTCAAAACACCCTCGACAGATGGCCATCCAGCCTCTGTTTAAAAGCCTCTAAAGAAAGAGCCTCTACCACACTCTGGGGCAGAGACTTCCACTGCTGAAAAGCTCTCACAGTCAGGAAGTTCTTCCTAATGTTCAGGTGGATACATCTTCCTGCTACTTCAATCCACTGATCGCTAAGGTGCTTATCATACTTCTACTATATAAACCCCACCAATGGCACTACCTTTCCATAGTGGTGGGATTGTATGCTGTGTGAGGTAAGAGGCTAAGAGGATGGCAGCAGAACAGTTTGACACCACTTTAAAATCCATTGTTAAATGCCATGGAATCACTGGAGTGGTGGATTTACAAAGTCTTTATCCTTCTCTGCCAAAGGGTGCCAATGCCACATCAAGCTACAATCCCCAGAATTCCATAGCATTGAGCCAAGACAGTTCAAGTGGTATCAGACTTCATACATTCTACTGAAGGGAATGAAGACTAAGGTAGTGTTGAAAAAATACCCAATTTGCCTATATCCTTCTTTAAATTCAGCATCACCATCCCTCAGTCCTTATTTACTTCTGGAAATAAATTTCCATGGAACAGAAATCCAATTTCCTTGACTTTGTGAATAATGATCAGAATGATTAATTTTAAATTCTGCTTTTGTTGCTTTCTTTTTCAGGGCTTGTTTTGATGAACTTCAAAGTAACAATTTACAAATGTGGTTTATTTTTGACTACGTATCAGATGTTATTTATGTTGCTGACATGTTTGTAAGAACCAGGACAGGTAAGAGCATGTTCTTTTCAATTACTGTGTCGGTAAGTTTTTCTTTGCATAAGGGATTTTAGAAAGCACTTTAAGAGGCCAATAACAAAGAAAATATAATCTGGCAATACTTTGTGTAGGTAGGAAAAAGTACATTGTTGGAAGTATCTTTGCAAAAAAGATATTTCTTAATAGGATTGCATAATAATAATAATAATAATAATAATAATAATAATAATAATAATAATATTTTATTTATATTCAGCTCTGTCTCCCCCGAAGAGGACTCAGAATGGATTACAACATACACAGATAGACAAACATTCAATGCCTTTAATACAGTGAAATAACAATGACACACAAATACACAGAACAAAGGTAAAGGTTTCCCCTTTCATTTCTGGCTTTAGGAGATGGTGCTCAACTCCAGCCATTTCCAAGTTGAGGAGCCTTTTGTTTATAGACACTTCGTGGTCGTGTTGCTTGCATGGCTGCATGAGCGCCTTTATTGTCTTCCCGCCGATGTGGTACCTTTTGATCTACTCACATTTGCATCTTTTCAAACTGCTAGGTTGGCAGGAGCTAGGACTAACAGTGGGAGCTTGCCCCCACCGACGTCTTCAAACTGACAGTCTTTAGATCAGCAGATTCAACAGCTCAACGGTTTAACCTGTTGTGCTACTGTGGCGAATATCAACACCGTGGAGTTGATATTCTCAGTGGTTTCCAATCTAGATAGGAATTGTTGAGATTAATTTCATAATTCAGCAGCAGATCAGTTGCACAACTTCAGCGCTTTCCAGTAGCTTCTTCCTGCACAGTATTTTTAGTCAACTGCTCCCACAAACTGCAGTCACTCTGGAACTCTTTTACAGACACTTGAGCACATGCCTGGCCATTGTCAGTTTTACTATTGTTTTCCCCTCCAATCTAGACGACACCACAAACTTACCACAGCAGACAGGTTCCTTTAATAAATTACACAGAGCCTTCAGCAAACAGCATCACAGCACAAGGAGAGAGTATACACTCTACACGACTTCCTTATATACAATTCTATACAATTACACATAGCAATCTCTGATTGGTTCCCAACTCATTAACTTAACTCAGACCCAAAATTGCATCATTCACAATCACCTGGACTAGGCCAGAACACATTCCCCAAATGATTCCCTATATACAGTTAATGCATGACTTAGCATTTCCAATAGAAGCCTATTAGCAGTGCATGACTCAGCTATATTACATTACAATACATTGTAAAACCTGACAGGAATCCTTATCAAAGATATCATGGTTCTACTCACCTGCTGTGACAGTTCATTCTATCACCCAAATGTGATGAATTATAACTCTTATAATCTCAACCAGCACAACCATTGGCTATGCTCATTGGGGATGATGGGGATAATAATCCAACACATCTGAGGAGGCACTAGATTGGGGATATTTGTTCTGTACTGATGATCTAATAGTAACATCCTTCATTGCCAACCACTCAAGGCTGTCTCTCCCAACAGCATTTATCAGAACATATTTTTGTTGTATCTATTGAATAGGAATAATAGCTCATTTATTTATTTTAGAAAATATACAAAGTTTGATTTCAAATTTAAGAGTTATTATCATAGGTCAACTCAGATTGAAGCCTAACCATGGGGCTTTGCTAGAGAGCTCTGTTATGGTTGATGGGAGTGGACTAGAGCTATCTTACATTTTTTTCAACAAACTACAAAACAGGATTCCATAGGATGAAACCACAATCGAGTAGCATCAAAATCCTATAATTCAATAATATAGATGGCTTCGATATTTGTATTTTCTCTTTGTAACATCAATTAAAATAAAAAAGGAATATATCAGACTTTTATTTACAATTTATTTTAGGGTACCTGGAACAAGGTTTGTTGGTGAAAGAAGATGTGAAACTTAAGAAAAGATATAAAGGAACAGTTCAATTTAAATTAGATGTACTTTCCATCCTACCAACTGATCTACTTTATTTCAAATTAGGGTTGAACTACCCTGAAATAAGAATAAACAGGTTACTTAGAATATCTCGTTTGTTTGAATTCTTCCAGCAAACAGAGACGAGAACAAGTTACCCAAATATCTTCAGGATCTCGAATCTTGTAATGTACATTATAATTATTATCCACTGGAATGCATGTATCTATTTCTCACTCTCTAAAGCCATTGGCTTTGGTACAGACACATGGGTCTATCCCAATATTACCCATCCTGAATTTGGTCGACTTGCTAGAAAATATGTATATAGCCTCTACTGGTCAACACTGACTCTAACAACTATTGGCGAAACACCTCCTCCTGTGAGAGATGTAGAATATGTTTTTGTTGTTGTTGACTTCTTAGTTGGTGTGTTAATTTTTGCTACAATTGTTGGTAATATTGGTTCTATGATCTCTAACATGAATGCTGCTCGAGAAGAATTTCAAGCAAGGATTGACGCCATCAAGCAGTACATGCAATTTCGGAACGTGAGCAAAGATTTAGAAAAAAGAGTTATCAAGTGGTTTGATTATTTGTGGACAAATAAGAAGGCAGTGGATGAAAGAAAAGTCCTGAAGTTTCTTCCAGATAAATTAAGAGCAGAAATTGCCATTAATGTTCATCTAGAAACGTTGAAGAAAGTCCGAATCTTTGCAGATTGTGAAGCTGGTCTGTTGGTTGAACTAGTTTTAAAACTACAGCCTCAGGTATACAGTCCTGGAGATTATATCTGCCGCAAAGGTGACATTGGACGAGAAATGTACATTATCAAAGAAGGCAAACTTGCCGTGGTAGCTGACGACGGAGTCACTCAGTTTGTCGTCCTAAGTGATGGCAGTTACTTTGGTGAGATTAGCATTCTTAACATTAAAGGCAGCAAAGCTGGAAATCGGAGGACAGCCAACATCAGAAGCATTGGCTATTCAGATTTGTTTTGTCTATATAAAGATGATCTAATGGAGGCTCTAACGGAATATCCAGATGCCAAAGCAATGCTGGAAGAGAAGGGAAAGCAAATCCTTATGAAAGATGGATTACTTGATTTAGAGGTTGCAAGTGAAGGAAAAGATCCTGAAGATTTGGAGGAAAAAGTTAACCACATAGAAATAATGTTAGATAATGTACAGACAAGATTTGCCAGGCTTTTGGCTGAATATGATGCTGCACAGAAGAAACTAAAAGCAAGGCTAACAGAAGTTGAGAACATTGTGAAACCACCTATACATTTTGAGTTCTCAAAGTTAGAAGAAATTGAAATAGTTCCTGGTCAATAAAGAATTAAGAAAATACAACAGAAATGTGGATATTCAGAATTAACTTAAAAGATAATAAAATAATAATTAGTGAAGACATTAACTAGATTTGGAATATGTCCAAAACATCCAGTTTTTATACCTAACAGATATAGTTTCATGTTATATAAGAGTTGTAAGTTCAGGATCATTCCAGGCACTAAGGTTTCCAGACCAAAACCTTAGATCTAGAGGAGGTTCCCGTTGGTATCATTAAATAGTATCATAGATAACTGAGCTTGTGGCTCAAATACACACACACACCCAAATACATGCAAAATATACATTTAACTGCTTGGAAATTAAAAGAGAAATCTTTGATAAAGAGGCTATTTCCTGATAAAGGCGAAACGACAGGTTAAGGAACATTATTGGAGCCGACTTGCTTCTAGAAGTTAAAGCAATGGTATTCCTCGTAGTAAGCTATGGATGTGAGAGCTGGACCATAAGGAAGGCTGAGTGAAGGAAGACAGACACTTTTGAACTGTGGTGTTGGAGAAAAATTCTGAGACTGCCTTGGACTGTGAGAAGATCAAACCAGTCCATACTTCAGGAAATAAAGCCCAACTAGTCACTTGAGGGAAGGCTATTAGAGGCAAAGATGAAGTACTTTGGCCACATAATGAGAAGACAGGAAAGCCTGAAGAAGATAATGATGCTGGGGAAAATGGAAGAAAAAAGGAAGAGGGGTCGATAAAGTGCAAGGTGGGTAGATGGCATCCTTGAAGTGACTGGCTTGATCTTGAAGGAGCTGGGGGTGGCGACAGCCAACAGAAAGGGGAGCTCACCCCCATTCTTAACTATGAGTCATTTGTAATTTGGATGTTTGTACAGGGACTGTCTATATTAATTTGATATAAGGAAATCTCACTTTGTGAATAAAATATTTGCAGATATATTTTATACAAAATATGTATAATCTTTGATGCTGCTATTTGTAAAGGCATTTGATGCACATATGTACATGTTGAATTTTTATCCTGATGCTGTGATTATTTAATTTAAAATAAATGAAATACCAAACTATGTCTAGAGAGTCTAAATGTGATTGCCTTTAAGAAGACTTGCTACATATAGAAAAAAAAGATGGAAGGAAAAGTTGGTGAGAGTGCCCATCTGTAAATACCAGAGCTGCAGTGGCGCAATGGGTTAAACCCTTCTGCTGACTCAACTCCTGACCTGAAGGACGGCGGTTCGACTCTGTGAGATAGGGTGAGCCCAGTCTGTCAGCTCCAACTTCCCATGCCAGGACATGAGAGAAGCCTCCCATAGAATGGTAACACTTCTGGGCGTCCCCTGGGCAACGTCTCTGCAAATGGCTGATTCTTTCACTCCAGAAGCGATTTGCAGTTTCTCGAGTCGCTTCTGACATGATAAAAAAATACGAGAAAGATGTGAGTTCTAGTGCATTTAATCATGCAGTGGTAATCCAAGAAGGATGCCAGACATTGCCCTGATGAGTTACTTTGAGCCTTCAGTTTCATCTATCAAATATACTCGTGTATAAGTCAACCTTGTGTTTAAGTCAAAGGTAGGTTTAGGGGGCCAAAGTATGGATTTTGACACGACCATGTATATCTCAAGAATTATTCCATTGAAAGGAAAAAGTGCTAGCATTGCTTTGGGGCCTGCTGCCCCTAGCCTCCACTGGTGTTTTTCCACTCAAAAAGGCCAGAAGCAGTATCATGGTGGGGAGAATAGTGGGGTCGGTGTAACTTTTAGGACTTACTAAGCCTTCACCTTTCACACTTTACTAAGAAAAGGGGATGATTTCTTTAAAAAAATAGTTAAGTTACAGTACTTACATTGACTCCTGAATAAATCAACCCATGTTTTTGGGTCATTTTTTGGACTAACATTTCTAGAACCATACAGGAATATATGGGGCAATAGTGAGAACCAGGCAACATTACATGTCAGACTCCAGCCTATGCCTCTAGTTTGTGAAGCGCATATCTTTTGAGCAAGGAAAAGTGATACACACACACACACACACACAGAGGGGTAATTTTAGTCTGAAAATCATATATTATTTGTTTAATTACTCATTGGGGCCAGGGTCAATGAGGCCTGTTCTACACTGTCCTTGCATCCCAGGATCTGATCCCAGGTCATCTGCTTTGAACTGTATTATATGGCAGTATAGACTCATAACCCAGTTCTAAGCAGATAATGTGGATTTTCAGATTTGATAATCTGGATTATATGGGAGTGTAGAAGTGGTCTGATTCTCCACTGCCATATAATTTGGGATAAACAGAGGATCTGGGATCAGGGCAGTGCAACGCCCCTTCTACACTGCCTATAATCCAGAATATCAAGGCAGGTAATCCAAAATATTTGTTTTGAACAGGATTATCTCAGGCACCTTCCACACAGCTGTATAAAATCCACATTGAGCTGGATTAGATGGCAGTGTGTTCAGATAACCCAGTTCAAAGCAGATATTGCGGACTGTCTGCCTTTTATTCTTAGTTATATGGCTGTGTAGAAGGGCCCTGAGTCTACATTGTCAGATAATCCAGTTCAAAGCAGATAATCTGGATTTAATACAGCTGTGCAGAAGGGGCCAAAAAGAGGTCTCAAGATCAATGTTGGAGTCCTGAAACATTTGGCAACAGTAAAGATGTTCTGAACACCTCCTAGTGGCCGTCTTAAACTTTTTTAATGAATCCATTGTGCAGGGTTTATAATGGACTCTGCAGGAGATGCTTCAGATGTTCTTCATAAAAAAGGAAATCAGCTTGTTAGCACACATTGCAAATGCTGATTTGTGATCAGTAAATGTTTGATTTTTATACCTGTTTTATATACCCATATACTCATGATCACATAAAAATTTCTCAAGGCAAAAGAGATTGTAAGTGGAAAAGTTTAAGAAGTCCCTGCCTACAACACCTGGTGTTCACTGATACTCTGCCAACCAAGTATTAACCAAGATCATTTTCTACTGGGTTTTTTGAACTTCAGCTCCCAGAATTCTGATCATTGGATAGTTTGGACTTGAAGCCCAAAACAACTGCAGGACCTAAGTTCAGAAATTACTACTTGGGGCATACGGTGCATCCTACACTGTAGTACAAATATAGTTTGACACCACTTGAACTGCCGTGGGTCAATGCTATGGAACTATGGAAATTGTCTGTTGGTGAGACACTTGCCCTCTTTGCCAAAGGCCCTTCCACACAGCCCTATATTCTAGAATATCAAGGCAGAAAATCCCACATTATCTGAGTATGGACTCAGATAACCCAGTTCAAAGCAGATATGGTGGGATTTTCTGCCTTGATATTCTGAGATAAAAGCCTGTGTGGAAGGGCCCCAAAAAGACAACAAAAGACCTCATGAATAGAACAATTCCCAGGCTTCCATAGCATCGGGACATGGCTGTTCAAATGGTGCCAATCTGCATTATTTTGACTTTGTAGATGCATCCGAGGTGAATCTTAGGGCCCTTCCACACTAACAGATAACCCAGAATATCAAGGCAGACAATCCACAATAACTGCTTTGAACTGGGTTATCTGAGTCCACACTGCCATATAACCCAGCAGTTCAATGTGGATTTTATACAACTGTGTGGAAGGGGGCATAGAAGCCATTAGTAACACTATGTAACACTTGACTGCTGATAGTTTGCTGTCTGGAACTCCTCGGTTCCAATGCTTGTGGATTCCATTGGCTTCTCTGTGGGCCCTTCCACACAGCCAAATAACCCATAATATTGGCTTTGAACTGGGTTATCTGAGCCCACACTGCCATATATTCCAGTTCAAAGCAGATAATGTGGGACTTTATTCATTTGTGTGGAAGGGGGCTGAGTAATCTGACATGATGGTTGCCAGAGTGGTTCAGCATGTCTGTATTCTCAAATAATATTCTGTGTCCAGGTTGGTTATATATCTAGACACACACCAAAGAGCATGAAAGGACATGCAGACTAATTCAACCAGAGAAGTCAGCTATAGCAGAGCACTTGATGAACCAACCTGGACACAGAATATTATTCGAGAACACAGAAATGCTGGGCCATTCTGACAACCACCATGTCAGACTACACAAAGAAGCCACTGAAACCCTGGACATTCCATTAATAGATAAGATAGATAAACCCCACTTGCCTCATTTCCAACAAACCTCACAACCTCTAAGGCAGTGGTTCTCAGCCTTCCTAATCTTGCAACCCCTTAATACAGTTCCTCATGTTGTGGTGACCCCCAACCATAACATTATTTTCATTGCTACTTCATAACTTTTGCTACTGTTATGAATTGTCATGTTAGGTGCCACCTCTATGCAGATGACACACAACTCTATTACTCATTTCCACCCAACTCCAAGGAGGCCTCT